TATGTTATTTTTTACAAATGTTAAACTCAAAAAATTATTTGACATAATTTTGTATTTCAAATATAGCGAACCATATAGGGCAATGTTAGGGCAACAGGACGATTATAATATGAATCGTTTAACAACTACTCTAATTGTGTCAAATTTTTGAAGTCTTACTATAAAATGGATAATTCTGTAGTATAAATTACAAGTGTGCTTTATTAACTTTTACTTCAGAGTCAAGAAAAGAATTGCTCTGTTTAATCAAGTAAATAAATTCATTTGATTAGCTTGTTTAAACTCACTTTTATATATGAAATACGATATTGTAGTTTGAAAAGTGTATTACTACAATTATTTTTTGTGACGTATAAAATAGTAGAAAATCTAATACAGTACAAGTATGTTCTCTAAAACTCCGACACTTAATAATCTACACAATAATCTAATCTAAATCTAAATCTAAACTTTTTAATCCACACAAGGCGAAGAAACTTTAGCTCAATAATCCGTCCACAAAATTTTTTACTTTCGTCCTTAATTTTATTTTCATAATTCCTATTTATTTTATAATTATTTTGGAGAATTTTGGAATACTAAAACAAAATAACAAAAGTAATATTACAAAAAATTACTATTTATCACATGGTTAAGATTCTAGTATATAACAATATAAAATAACTATAATATATAATACTACAACTGTAATATACTATAAGTGGATAATACAAATATTTTATTTCTTTATTTTACTTGGATTTATCACATTTAAATGAGTCTGAAAATAAAAGCAATGTCGATAAATTTATTTATTAAAAAACAATTTTAAATGTAATAATTTAAACAATTACCAATCATATTAAATTAGGTTATAAATTTAATTTGCTTATAAACTCAATTTTTAAAAATATAAGCATTTAACCAATGCGGTCTAGAAAAGCTACAAAACCTATTAACGATTTCCATCATTATTAATACAAAACCAAAAAAAAATATATTCAATATGATCTGAAATTTTAAAAACAATTTTAATCCCAGCTATATATTAAAATATGAGGGACTACCACAGCTATTGTGCCACTACCCTGAGTTAATAAAAATGAGAATGACCTATTTAGAAACTCATGTCTGTGATTCTGCGTATAAAGCACCCAATTACGGACATAGAAAGATGTTCCCTTAATAAGCAAAATTACTTGATTTCATATAGATAATGCATCAGCTTGTCAAACTAACAAACTAATTTGACTAGCTCTGTAAGTAAAGAATTTTTTAACTATAGATTGCAATATATTGAAGTCAATGTTAATGATAGTTTTAGCAAAAAAAAAATTTTTTTACTATACTCAAAGGATGATAATGCAGAAGATTATTAATATTATTATTCCCCAGTTAGTATCACTGGTTTTTATAAGAGTTGAGTAAATGTGCAAAATATATAAGGATTTAGTTTCTGAACAAGTCTTTCTTGTTCAATGTGTAGATAAGATGAAATTTGACATAATTTTTGTTAGTTAAACCTTGTGTATAATAACGACAAACATTAGTATTGTATTACGTTTTTTAAGAAACTAAAAATAAACTATTCCATAGACAATATGTATGCTATGTCACCTTTTTCCTAATATCTACTCTATCCATAATCGAGAATATTAAAATTTTTTTGTTAAAATTTGTTTAAAATTGACCAACATCGACTACATACATAGATAAAACACAAACAGCAAACATTTGTTGTTCAAATATATTTTCTTACGCAAGTATAAGTTTCGAATATCTCATATAGATGGTAAACTTTTTAAATATTGTATCAATTGCATATTGTATCATCCCCGTTACAGACTGTGAAAACTTATTGTATAATAAAATTGTGTATAAGAAGGAATACTTTTAACTGACATTAGATTAGATTAGATTTGTGTAAGTCTTCTTGCAAAAACTGTGATAAGTCACAACTAGAAATTTCATTGCTCTTCAAAAAAACTTACTCCTATTCTCCCTATTTTATAATATTTCAATAAATTTTTATTTTCTTTTACTAAAAAGATACTAATGAAGTTTTTACTTTTAACAAAGCGATGTTATTATTTCATTTTTTATTCTTTCATTATTCCTATGACCGAATAGGAGTGATGTAATAAATTTAATTTAATTATAGAAAAGAAAAACAGAAAAATTTAACTTTGCCTTTACCTAAACCTTAATAAGTTACATATTTATATAAATGAAATTAATTAGTTTTTGTTAATTTTTTTTATCGTCGATGTGACGCGTCTTATTACAAAAAGAAGTTATTTAAAACTTAGAAATGTTGGAATAGAAATGAAACCCTGAATGTAAGTACTTTTATTTTACATACAGTACATTAAGACCGAAA